GAAGACTAAACAGATTGTCTCTAGTCTGGATTCCTGGCCATACTGGCCTGGAGGGCAATGAAGCTGCTGACTCTCTTGCAAAGGAGGGTGCTGCAAGCGGCTTCATTGGACCAGAACCTGTCATTGGCATCGCTTTGGGCATTGCCAAACAAACACTGAACACCTGGATGGCAAGAAGAGTTATGGATTTCTAGCAGAATCTTTCAGGATTGGCTCACTCCAAGGCGTTTATTCACCCTTCGAAGCTTGATTCCAAACAGTTGTTGGACTACAGCAGGGATGAACTACGATGTCTAACAGGCCTTCTTACAGGTCACTGTCAATTGAATCATCACATGCAGATACTTGGACTGTCGGAAAACAGTGTGTGTCGCCTCTGTCTGGTAAATGATGAAACTGCAGAGCATATACTTTGTGCCTGCCCCGCTGGGGACCGAATCAGGTTCTTTGAGTTCGGCAGATCCGTACTCTCACCATCTGACCTGAAAGACCTTTTACCATACAAACTAATCGGCTTCGTTAAGAGGCTGGGTTTATTTGGCCGAGTGTGAATAGGTGTGAGCCACAATAAACCCTTATGGTTTGCGGTGGAGGGTCGAATAGACCCACTCACTTTAGACCTACCTACCTACCTCCAACAGGGTCCTCATATCCTCGTTCTGGATTACTGTAGGTCGACCACTTCGGGACTCAATTTCGCAAACCAACGTCGAACAGTACGTTCATTAACAGTATCCTTGCCGAATGCCTAATAAATGTGGAATGGTGTTCATATTCAAGAATAATTTTTACTAATTATATTTTTAATCACATCATGTAAAAAGAAATGTGGTTATTCAGATATCAGAAATTGTATCAAGTTTCGTTATAAAGCACAATTTGATACAGGTTGTCGCAATCTTTGTGTGTAATTTGTTTACCTGAATCAAATTGAACTGGAGTGAACCCACTATTTCGAAATATTTTATCTGTTGAGATATATTGTCATTGTCGTTATTCAAACATCTCATATCAATCCAATAGGATACTTAAATCGATTTGCAAATAGTTATGTTTTCTTTTGTATTGGACAATGCAGATTCATACTCTTATTCTCTTTACAGAAAAAAATAAATAAATTATGATAGCTAACATCATTTGAATATCTGACTTGGCCTTTTTACCTTTTGATTTCATCTTGCAAACATTGTGTAGAAGAAAGTCATTCAAAACCATTCTTCGTTGTATTTTCGATTGATATTTCAGACTAGTTCGCAAAGAGTACGAAACCATAACGTACGACACACGTGATGAAAGAATGTATTCAACACAGAAAGATGAACAACAATTGGAGTTCTAGACAGACAAATGAGATGAAAAATTGAAAAACTGAAATAGGAAATCTTTTGCTGAACTATGAAATAAAAGACAACATGAAGGGGGAAAATGACAAAGAAGAAGTCCAGACTGACATCACCAGATAAGAGACCCGAACTTCAGTGGGAAGACCAAGTAATTGAGGATATGAAAAAAACTGGAAAAAATCGTGAATAGTGGATAATAAACAGATCCCGAGAACATGTCTGAAAAAAAATTGGTATCAGACCGGTCAAAAACCGAACATAGGACGGAACTTGGATCATAATGTAGGACGTTCAATAAACGTCCGTCTTTCAAGAGGAAGTTTATGCAATTTTGCAGCGCGCAAGTAATATCAATATGGAACTTCAACAAAATCATAATTCTTAGACAGTCTGGTTATATTCAGGGCGTTGAACTGAATAGTGACATCGATACTGACCTGGAAAAATTGTCAAAAACTAATTACACTGGGGGGATCGTAATAGATTGACTTTATACTGGAAATCTAAAATTACAGGCCATGGAAAAGCTGATGAGGGTACTAGACACGAATCATTAGTTCCGTACATTGGCCTTGAAACCTGGATACCAAAATCAATGGTACCAGATCAGAAAATGAGTCAATGACAAACATAAAGAATACTAGAAGAATGCCGTTTAGAACGCAGTGAAGATCACTAAATTCATATGCTGCGTTTATAGACCACCAAGCGATTCACAATATAGGGCACTATACTCTTAACTTGCAAACACCATTGATTTTATGTAAATCAATTACCCAGTGTCGAAGTTTCCATATTCGGTGACTTCAATGTCCACAATATCGAATGGCTCAAATTTTCAAATATCAACGATGAACAAGGTCGCGAAGCCGAGGCTTTTGCAATGAGCAGCGGACTTTTCAGATTATAAATGAGCCAACCAGGATTCCTGACCGTGATGGAGAATATCTTAGTCTTCTGGATCTATACCTAACATCCAACAATCCAGATATTTACACAGTCACCGTTGGGTCTCCATTGGGATTTTTCCGATCACAAACTCATTTCAGTGCTGAGTGAATTACCGATGAATGTTAGGGAACAATCGAAGCCGCTCAAAGTTTGGTATTACAGATCTGCTGAGTGGGAGAATATTCAAGACCATTTCCGAAATTTCCCCTGGCTAGATGTTTCTTTTAGCTCTAATGATCCATCAACTCGTGCCTTTGAAGTCAGGGAAGCTATTCTATCATCCATAGATGCATATATTCATTTTTATAGTGAAACGAACTTCTAACGGCAAACCCTATTTCAACAAAGATTGCGAGAAAGCCGTCGCCTCTGAAAATCTAGCCTACCGGCAATGGCGAAAAAATCCCAGTGCCCAAAACAGAACTAAGTTTGTTATTGCTCGGAATAGCTGCAAAATCCCAACGAGTCTAGATCCTTCTGGTCGGTAGCTGGAGCTGTTGATAAAACTTCACAAAACCTACAAGTCCACCATTAACCCAAGCGGATGGTTCAATTGCAACAAGAGCCTTAGAACAGGCAAATTAACTAGCTGAACAATTTGCGTCCCACTACACAGTCAATTTTCTGGGAAAGGCACCACTCACTATTCCCACTAGAATCCACAATGCCGGACATTACTTTTCGACAGCGTTTAGTCAGGCAAATTTTGAAACAGCTCAATATCAACAAGGTGTCTGGTCTTGATGGAAGTACCAGTCATCGTACTTAAAAAGTGCGCCAATGAATTCACACCAGTATTTTGCAGACTTTTCAATTTGTCTTACAAGGAAGGAGTTTTTCCTTCTTGTTGGAAAACTACTCGCGTTCAGCCTATTCCGAAAAAGGGCAAGAAAAACTTCCAAACAATTATAGATCAGTCGCTTTGCTATCAGTGATATCAAAAACATGGAGAAAGCCTTAAACCACCATATCCTTGAATATTTAGAAGGCTTCAAGATCTTGAGCGATCGTCAATATGGCTTTCGGAAACAAAGATCAACATGCGACCTTCTATATTTGGAAAAAACAATCGAGAAATATGGAGAGTCAAAAGCTGTAGCGCTTGATATTTCTAAGGCCTTTGATCGTGTGTGGCATGAGGGTTTGCTGACCATACTTTGATGCTATGGCTTGTCGGGTCATTTTTCTGAGGGCTCTCCAGCTTCCTGAAAGAACGTTTCCTGCAAGTGGACGTCGATTTATATCTCTCGAATACTTTTACCATGAATCCAATATATTGTCTAGCTGACGACAACACACTCGCCATTCCATTTGGATTTCGGAATATCGGCTGCATATGCACATCTTCACCTGCAGCAGGAGGTTGCATATCTTAATAAAGATTTAGAGGCGATTTCGAATTGGAATGAAAGTAACCAGATTCAATTCAATGCCACGAAAACACAGGCAAAGGTTTTCTCCAAAAAGGTAAATGTCTCCGAATCGGATACAATAATGTCAAAACAGACAATTCCGCTTTCTGCTTCGATAAGTTTGTTGGGAATCAAAATGGACACCAATATGTTTTGGCACAATCATGTAGCTTAAATTGCAAAGGCTGCTTCTCGAAAGCTTGGAACACTGTTCCGAACCACAAAATTGTACACACCTCAGCAACTTTCTGGATTCCACCCAGAAAAGAGAAATCCGCCAGATTGGAGACTCGAACATCACTTGCAACCTTGATAATCTGGAACATCGAAGAACGGTTGGAGATTTGTCACTCCTTCTTTGATACTTTCCCGGGAGGTGTTCAAGTGACATTTGATTCCACCAAGAGCGGTACATATGCGCGAAGGACTGCGACTGTTCAAGATCCCTCTCATTTGGCCTGAGCAAATTGTTCTTTTAGTTAATTTGATTTACAGCCAGTCTTCAAGAACTATTTCAGTTGAAGAACTGCGTTTATGTGGAATAAACTTCCTGAGAACGTTCTCCCAAATGAATTTAATCTCCAGCATTCAAATCCAACGTGAATCGCTACTTTTGCACAGGCACCGGTCTTAGGGCGCCTTGAAAATTTTCCTGTAGTGCTTGTGTTCTGTCCTCAAAAAAATTGGGAAAACCTCTATAAAGGAAAACTAAAGAACTACTTCAACATAGCAGGGTTCGGTTCATAATAATTACAGAGTTACTTACTGGACATTTAGAGGACACCTGAACAAAATAATAACTGAGTCCTTAGTTATAGATTGTGCAAAATGGGGACAGAGATAGCTCATTATGTTTTATGCAAATACGAGGAACTGGGTCACGGGGGGGAGGGGCTAGCAGTTTCCCCAGACAACGCAAATTATGTCCAGCAAAATATGGCATACATCCAGCAAGGTACAGGGAACAAGATTATTGAAATGGGTGTCATTGAAAAATGGGAGAAAAACGCAGTAAGCGCATGAGGGTTCAGAGACCTCGAGACTTCGAGAAAATGTAATTTGTTAGACGAATTTCAAGTATAAAAAAAACTGGAAAAAGAATTGTAGAGACATCAGTGGTGTAGATAATCGAGTCACACAATCAACTGTATAGTTGAAAGGACAAATATATAGAACGTGAACTCAAGCACACAATACATTAATGTGGTGGAAATATTTCGAAAGCTTTTCATCTTTTGAAAATGAGAGATATATTCAGAACCTTCTTCACATAAAAAATTTAAATGATACTTACTCATGTTATGGTTATCTTTTTTCTGTCGATCTTTGGCGAGGGCGTGTAACTCGGCATCGCTGAGTAAATATGGTTCGTTTTTGATATCGAGATCATTTCCGGTCAGGGAATTGTCGGTTTTGAAACCATCGGAAGCCAATGAGCTAGATTCCAATGAAAGTAAATCGTCTATTAGATCTTCAGCCTGGAAATGAAAAAAGAATAGTATTATATTTATTATCAAATCGGTCATGTTTGAATGGATTCATTTCAATTTCTGTTTATTATAGAGATAAGAGATAGTTTGGTATTCACAACGAGGAATTCGAATAGTCTGCTAATGAACCTTCATATCTTTGCCCGTTGCTTATCGCGTTACTGAAATTAGTTCATTAATGTTGAAAAACAATTCAAACGCTTTCCGTTATTTATACTTTTCCAAAAAATGACATCGACGAGAATCGTATTTTATCATTTTTCTGATCACTTTTTATGCAGTATCTACACCTCAATAATGTCACCGGTAGTTCATTCATTTCATGACTTTCTATACACCTATCTTGGTCGGTCGGTAGCCAAGCGGTTCGGCGTGGGTGCTTTGTTCACTCACTCGAATTGACTGCCGTGTTGGTCGGTGGTTCAAGCCCTAGTCTGAACGATCGATCTTCACTTGCTACCTTCCAACCTGTGTTAGGAATCACACGTTAAAAGGTAAGACCTCGTTAATCCTTAGCTCGCACAAGTTTTGACTTCTGAGGGTTGTCGTTCGTAGGGGTGCTACTGCTGGTTAACGGAAAAACATATTTTAAACAGAAATATTCTCCAGTATTCAATTATTTGAGAAATATCAATTCTAAAAACTATACGAAGTCAATGTAGTCAGAAAAAAATCAGTTACACATCCGTCGTTGTATCACAAAGTCTTCAGAACTTTATTCAATTCACTAGGAATCACACGTTAAAATGTAAGATCTCGTTAGTCCTTAGCTCGCACAAGTTTCTCAACTTCTGAAAGTTGTCGTTCGTATTGGAGCGACAGCTGATTAACGGAAAAACAGATTTTGAACAGATTTTTTGTACTAGCCAACTCGCCTATGCATAAATAGCTGTGATGTCACAGCTTGTCCATGAAGAAGGTTTTCTTTTTACCTGAAGGACGTACTTGAAGATATGAGGGCTTGAAGTTTCGCCCTCTAGAAAGTTCGAAGTAGTCCAGAATATTGGAGGGTATTTGAGAGAATTCCTCAACATTCTAGAACATCCGGAACATTCTGCAATGTGGGGAATGTTCGGAAATGGTCTGAAAAATTCGAAGAAACCCCTAAACATTCCATGTCGTTGTTGAACGATCAAGAGATTTATATGATGGTTGTGGCTCTCCATCCTCCATCCATGAAGAAAGTTTCCGTTTTTACGGATATAGGGCTTTAATTTTTGCCATCTGAGAAGGTCTAAATGTTGGGGAATAATAGAAAATGTTAAGAAATGTTCCGGAACATTGGAAACATTCCAGAACAGTGTTGGATGCTCTGGAATGTTCTGGAACATTGTGAAGCCTTTTTTGTATAGTTGACAAGCTCAATTCATCCTTTTATTCCAACTACCACGTATAACAAACTGCCACTTTCTATAAAGAGGTCAAATTCTAAAACAATGGTCCGTAAGAAAGTTAAATAAACACTCATTAATGGACAAATGTTACTACAATCATAAGGAACATTCAGAGGATACTTTGACAGAAAAATAATTTTTCTGCTCTGATGTTTTACTTGTTGTTTTTCATCAGTTTCAGTGTTCTGAGTGATATTTATGACTACGGCCACATTTTCAAATATTATATATGTATGTGTAAGTTTGCGAATGTCTACCGGGTGTCAACGAATCTATTAGACAAGTCATAATTTCTAGACTATTAGGAGAATTGAAATGAGATTTGGTACACTTGAATGGAATGTGGAGAGGAATGTTTTCACATATTTTTCACTTTCCGGTCACTTCCGGTTTCAGCGGAAATGGCTCCGGTTCTGAATTTTTAAATGGAACACCCTTATATTGTAACATTTTTGGGATTTCTGAGACAATTCTGGATCAGAAACTGACATTTCCGGAAGTTTTTCAGCCTACTTGATTTTTTCAGAGTCACTTTTAAAATTGCATCTAGGTGGCCATGATCGGACGTAAACTAATCTATGGACCTCAGGTGATATCAGAAAATTGCAATAGCGGAGTTTTAGTGACTAGTGTGTTGAATATGAATGAGACAAGTTTACAAAATAACATTTTCGTGTCTAACTATTATTTTTCAAATGGCGACCATTTTTTGACAAGCA